TTCTTTTTTTTTTTTGAGAGGTTTTTGCTATAGGGTGTGTGCATTCGCCAGACAGAGAGAGCCATAGAGACAGAAAGCAAGAAATCACCCCCTGAGGGGATGGTCACGCCACAATCTCTTCTCCTCCATTCTCCTCTCGGGATCTTGGGCACGCACGCACACACGCCCGGCATGAGTTTTAAGCCACCGGGTCCAGGACACGAACCACGGTCAACTACGTGAGAGTCCAGCGACATAGCCATTATGCTAACTGCTGGTTCCCTGTATTTAATATTTTTGATCTAGCACTCCATTGAGAACTTCTTGGAGATCTGGTCTGGTGCTGGTAAATTCTTGCAGGTTGTGTTTATCTGAGAATGTTCTTGTCTTTTCTACCCATATGAAGGATAATCTTTCTGGGTACAGTATTCTTGGTTGAAATTGCTTTTCACTTAACATTTTGAGTATATTTTCCCATTCTTTCCTTGCTCTCATTATTTCCAATGAGAGGTCCACTGTTAGCCTGGTGGGATAGCCTTTGTAGGTAACTTGATCTTTCTCTCTTGCCAATCTTAGTATCTTGTCTTTGCCTGTTGTTTTGGTTAATTTGACTATAATGGGTCTTGGAGAAGATTTTCTTAGGTTGATTCTATTTGGTGTCCTTTGTATTTCTTGGGACTGGATCTTTGAATGCCTCTCTAGGTTTGGAAAGTTTTCTTGCAGGATTTCATGAAATAGATTATCAATGCCCTTATGGGTCTCTTTACCTTCTGGGATACCAATGATCCAGATGTTTGGACATTTGATGGTATTTAGTATTTCTCATATATTATTCTAATTTTTTTTGGCAATATTCTCAGTCTTCATGGTGGATTTTTCTAGGCCAACAATTTTCTCTTCTACATCTGAGATTCTATTTACTGTATGACCTCTGTATGATCTAGTCTACTTTTAATACTTTCAAGGGGGGGGTTACTTCCTGTATTATAGCCTTCATCCCTAACAGGTCCATTTGATTCTTTTTTAAAGTTTGTAGCTCCTCTTTTAGATCTTGCAAGAATTTCCTCACCTCCTGGAACTCATCATCTTTCTACTTTCTCTTCTGCAGTTCATTGTCTCTCTTCTCTTCCATCTCTGTTAGCTTCACCATTATGAATATTCTAAATTCTTACTTAGACATTTCCATAATTTCTATTGAACTGTCTGTGGATGAGGAAGAGTTATTCCGTTGAACTGTGTGAGGATGAAGAGGAGCTATTTCCCTTGGAGGAGAGGTATTTTCTTGCTTTCCCATATTTCTTGTGGCCCTGCAGTGATTTCCAGTCATCTGATGGATGGTGTGTTTCTTTCTAAACTTGAAGTTCAATCTGAGCATTTAGGAGCGTGCAGAAAGAAGTATCTCGAATCTTTTTGCTGTTCCATTTTGAATCCTTTGCACAGCAGATTCAGTAGATATTGAGGAATATGGTAACCCTAATAGTATTTGGATGTTTGGGTATAGTCCCCTTTAGATCTGTCTAGAAACACAGTGAATGGAGATTGTGGAGAGATGAGATAAAAGAAAAAGAAAAGGAAACAGAGAGAGAGAAAACAACAACAAAGAAACAGAGAAAAGGAGGGGAAAAACACCAAAAAATTATTACTTTTTTAAAAAAATAGAAAACTGTGCAGCACGCTTGTGGGCCACACAGAATCACTAGTTCTCAGGAGCCATGAAGGAATCTTTTTCTTAAGGCCTGCCCCTTACCTCTCCTGGGTGGGAGGAGGAGAGGGGATTATTAGCAAGAAAAAGGAAGGGCTGAAAACCGAGAAAATACTTTACCTTAAAATATTTTAAAAAGGAAAATTACAAAAAATTGAGAAGACATAGAGCATAGAGAGACAGAGGCAGAGACAGAGACAGAGACAGAAAGAAGACTTGAGGGGCTTTCTACCATTCGAGTTTGGCTGGAGTCTGAATTATCAGTAGAAAATCTTCATTCCTCTTTTATTCTCTGAAATCACTAGTTCTCAGGAGCCATGGAGGAATCTTCTGAAGGCCTGCCATTTGCTTCTCCTGGGTGGGAAGGGGAGAGGGGATTATTAACAAAATAATGGAGTGCTGAAAGCAGAGAAAATTCCTTAAAATTTTTTAAAAAGGAAAAATTACATAAAAAGAGGACAGAGATAGAGGAGGAGAGAGATAGAGACAGAGATAATGTGTGAGGAGCTTTCTACCACTCGAGTTTGTGGGCTGGAGGCTGAATTATCAGTAGAAAATCTTCATTTCTCTTTTATTCTCTGAAATCACTAGTTGTCAGGAGCCATGGAGGAATCTTGAAATTAACCTACTCCTTTGTAAATCATAAGGGTTATTTCTGCCAAGATGGAGTTGCAGATCTGAGAGTGATGTTGCACATAGCAATGAAATGTCTTCTGTGCACTAGTGAGGATGCATTGACGACTAACACTATTACTTCCCCTTCCTGCTAGGGCATCAGACAGAATTAGAATATTGTGGATCTTCATATTTTTTATTTATTTTTTAAATAATTATTAATTTTATTTTATTACTATGTTTTTATTTGCTATAGGGCATATGTGTTCAGTATAGAGAGACAGAGAGAGAAAGAAAGAAAGAAAGCCACCAGGTTGGCACTTAAACTACAGTCAGCCATGTGGCTTTCAAGAACCTTGACCACATATCACTTGCTAGCTCATATTTATTTAGAAAAATATTTTTGTAATATGGCATAGATGCTCACCAGAGAACCATAGAGACTAAAAGTGGAAATACATCCCCCAGGGGGGGATGGTAAAACCACAGTCCCTTCTCCATTATCCCCTCAAGATTTTGGGCATGCCCGCAGACAGGACTGGTGTGAGTTTTAAGCTGTGGAGTCCAGACCTCTAGACACAGTTAGCCATGTGGGATTCCAGTGCCTTAACCATGATAAAACCTGTGGGTCTAATTTCTGTAAATTTTAGCACCATTAAAAAAATCTTGACAACAGTCTTGTAATATAAGCATTTTGGCTTCTTTTTGTCACAACATTACAAAGCTTATTTTCTCAGGATGGAGTTATCCCCAAAGTTTTACTTGGCCATTATGAAATCTTAAAGTCTAAGGAATTAAAATGATCCAAAACACGTTTTTCCAAAGTTTTTTTTTTTTTTTTTTTTTTTTTTTTACCAAAATGGTGGGTGTGACAGGTGCAGAGTCCCAGGACAGTGTAATCACCAGATCTCCTGGATGGGACTTAAATGAAACAGTAAAAAGACAAGGAAGCCAGAGCTGCTTAGATTAAGACTAAATCTCAGCATCATGACTCTTGTGGAAATGCCTTTTTAAATGCTTCTAGTTATGTCCCTACTTGTCATGCCAGTCTGGTACATACTTTGGAGGGCTTAAAGGCAGATTAGTGAAGTGAGAATCCTCTGTGTCCTCCACAGAGTTGCCTCTCCCAACAGAGGCTAAGATTGCAGACACAATCCAGTTTCATCTCCTTCTCAGCTCACACACATACGACTTGTTTTCTGTGTTGGGTCAGCTCGGACATGTCATTACCTTTGATTAGTGTTTTTCTACTTCTACAGTCTTTAAAAATGGCTTGTGCAATGGAATATATGAGCTGTTTTGGATACCTGAAGTCAAGTGTCTACAAGGATGGAGACCCGATACTGGGTGGGGGTTTCCCTTTTAATATCTTAGAGATACAATCTGCACATAAAGGTTTTCTGATAAAGCCAACTCTAGAGGTGTTAGATACTTGGTAAGTTGTTGTTCAGATGTATATAAAATGTACTTATAACTATGTAATAATGTAGTTTGTATATGTATGTGTGTGTGTGTGTGTGTGTGTGTGTGTGTGATTAATCCAACTTAAGAATTAGCAAGTGTGCACAGAAATGAGAGAAGTAAAGAATTCTGAACTCAGGAAGTTCTGCCTTGTTATCCTTTTATTGTCTTTATTTTTCTTATTTTTTAAAGTTTTTCCATTTATTTCAAGAGAGAAGTAAAAAGTTAATATAATTTATTGTCCTCACCATCATCAGTATCCCCATATTCAGTCTTTGGTAGGCTCAGAGTATGTGAGGTTGTTGGAACATCAGCTGTTATACCACAAAAACCTGTATAGTGAGACGGACTGAGGCTGCAGGCCCGACCCTACCGAAACTCCACGCATCCCCACCGTTCTTCCTCCTTGGACCCCAGGTTGGTTGCCTGGGACTTTAAGGCAAACCCCCCCCCCCCCACCTGAAACCCGGATCGAGCCGGCCAGCAGTTCCGGACACCAGGAGGACTGAGACTGCAGGCCCGACCAACCTGGTACTGTCATTCATTATCTGATCCCTTTCCACTAGCCTTTGGATTGTTTGAATTTTGGTGATTTGAGTAACTTCTGATTTTCTTTTTCCATTTTGTTTTTCTTTGCTCTTGGGGTGTTGCTTATTTGGTCAGTTGAAGGCTCACCACTCCTTAGATACAGCGAGGATTTTGGGCCTTCTAGGGCTAGTGGCAACAGTTAATGGTAATTGTGAGTAACAGGTAGGCCAACCATAAGATAAATCATCAATCTTCTAAGCCTGTACAACTTTTAAGAATCAGAGATACCTTAAATAAGTTAGCAAGAAACATACAGATTACCTGATGACAAAGAACAATCGCAGAGGCTCAAGAAATATGAACAACCAACAAAAGGCCTCTCCGTCAAGGGAAATCATCAAGCCTACATCACCCACAGTCAATACAATGGACGTCGTGGACATGTCT